CTTCTTTTCGTTTGTAACCAGTATAAGTACACTTAATTATGAAATATGGACTTGAGTGGTCTCTTTCTTGGTTATTAAATGAAGGGGCAGTGACACTATTAACTTAAATATTTCTTTTGCTATCTTCAGTAGAAATCCTTTGTCTCATTCTTTTTTAAATATATACATATATGGGGAATCTTGACCTTTAATTTACTAATAGCTGAGATGAGCATTTATTTATTCAAGTGTTCAAGCTAGAAGTGTTGAAAGGATTAGAAGAATTTGCCATTAAAGCTGACTTCCGGGATAATGAGAAAAGGATGACAATTTTGGACAATTGCAGTCTAATAGTTTTAGAACTTTCTTATGAAACGCTAAAGATGAATTTTGTCTAGAAAGAAGATGTTTTTTTCTTTCCATATTATAATGATTATGCTTTCTTTTAAAGTTGCTGTTGCCTCTGCACTACTCGGCCCCGTTATGCACCTGGTGTCACCATTGAGGAAGATAACTGCTGTGGCTGCAATGCTATTGCAATTCGACGCCATTTCCTTGATGAAAACATGACTTCTGTGGACATTGTGTACACTTCATGTCATGATGCGGTAAGGGTTGTATGAAAAATAACTTGTGCTGGAGAAGACTGCTAAAGTGTTTTGGAGAAATGTGCTGAGGCAGGAATAGGAAAGTAGCTTTCAACCTCTTTAGGTAAGAGATCATTTTGAAGATCTGATAAGCATTATTGATTGCTTTTCTGCGTTTACTGTTTTGGAGAGAAAAAACAGGTGCCAAAAAGTGAAAACGGTATCAAAAAATCTTGTAGTCCATGGCTTTGGCCCAACCCTACCATCGTTTCTTTCAGTTCTACATTCCCTCCTATGTCATCCCCAATATATATCATCATTGTAAGAATATGTGTTTGACAATAAAGAGACAATTTTCTACATGTGACAAAATAATGGAGCTGAAACATCAGAATTCACTTTTCAGATGTGAAATTATAAATTCCTGTTAGAATTAGCTCAAAAATGTTGCTTCTCTATGAGGAGTTGATTAGGAAAGAAAATGCTTGGCATTTAGGTAAGACTAAATAGAAAGAACAAGTTTGGTGTAGTCCTTAAGGCAATGGGCTAGAAACTGGGAGACTATGAGTTCTATTTCCATCTTAGGAACAAAGATATGCTAGATAATCTTGGTCAAGGAAGAAGGCAGTGGCAAATCACTTCCAAACCTTGCCAAGAAAGCTGCAGGAAGTTGTCCAAGGAGTCAGCACTAACTTGAAGGCAGCACTACAAACACTAACTATTGCACTATATTTCATTACTTTTAGGTTTATGAAACCCCCTTCTACGTGGCTGTAGATCATGAAAAGAAGAAAGTAGTCATTAGCATTCGAGGAACTTTATCACCAAAGGTATTTTTTTTCCTGTTTACTTCAGTCACCGTGTGATTGTTTCATGCTCTGAACCTAGAAATCTGCTAATGTGCAAATGTATTAATAAGATTTGTAACAATGTCTAAGCCTCATATATCATGGAGTCTTTTTTCTTCACCCCAAAGGATGCTTTGACTGATTTGACTGGAGATGCTGAGCGCCTCCCTGTGGAGGGTCATCACGGAACATGGCTTGGACACAAGGTATTTATAGAATGCTTTTGATTTTAGTTGGTTAATATATACACCATACTTTCAAATAATTCTTTTAAAATTTATCTTGGAATATATAATTTAAGATTATTTTTAATCCTTATATGAAAGCCACAGTATGCAATCTGTTGGTACTGAAAAAGGTATAAAAAGCTGTTGAAACTTTCATTCAAATTGGTGTCCTCCCCAAAAACAACTGGCAGTTAAAGAAACAAAACCTGGTGATAATCCCACAAAGCTGATGGAATATGAAATGCAATTCTGAGTTGAGTTGAGTTTATTGGTCTTGTATGCCGCCCACTCCCGGAGGACTTCGGGCGGCTTACAATAAAAAGGGGAAGGGGATAAATAAGACAAACAACAATTTAAAATACAACAACATACATAGTTACCGTGGGGCTGGATACTTCAACAGCCTTCGGCCTGCCGGAGCAGCCAGGACTTAGTGGCCTTACGGAAGGCCGGGAGGGTAGTAAGGGTCCGGATCTCCACGGGGAGCTCGTTCCAGAGGGCCGGAGCTGCAACAGAGAAGGCTCTCCCCCGGGTGGTCGCCAGCCGACATTGGCTGGCTGATGGAATCCAGAGAAGGCCTAGTCTGTGCGATCGAATCGGTCTTTGGGAGGTAATTGGCAGGAGGCGGTCTCTTAGGTATCCACTAATGTCACTCCT